CTTCCTGCAAAGGACAATTGATTAACCTTTCATAATGATACGTGATCTCGGACTTTTTTCACAACATTCCTGTATTTATTTTGAGTGACTCTTTGGTAATGAATGGGAACTCCAAGATATTTTCCCAAATCATTAGTAGATGCCATTCCTATTATGCTACAAATATTCTCAATAGTTTGACAATTAGTGTTGGGTGAAAATAAAATTTTTTATTTGTGCACATTCACCTTTTGACAAAAAAAAAAAAATTGCAAAAACGATCAAAACAATTAATCACTATGAGTGCATTTTCAAAAGTAGCTTTACCAAAAAGAATTAAATCGTTCGCAAAAAAGACATGAGTAAGAAAGGGCCTTTTCGTGTAATTTGCATGGGAGACCAGTCTTTGAGTCAAACTTCATTCTCAATCATTTGTGACAAGCAATCTAAACAGAGAACAAACAAGTAAGGTGAAAATGGGTCACCCTGTCTTAAACCTCGAGTAAGAGTGAAAGGCCTAGTTTTCTCTTTATTCCAAAGAAGGGTGAACTCTGATGAAGATACACAGAACATAATCAATGCAATCCAATTGCCAGGAAGACCTAAATCCTATAGTACCGATCGCAAAAATTCCTAATTTATACGATCATAAGCCTTCTCAAGATCTATCTTCATGATGAAATTTTCAGTTTTCCCTTTGCCTGTTTTTATAGAGTAAACAACTTCTTGCATGACGATAATGTTATCATGACAGCCTTTCCCCGAAATAAAGGCACTTTTTGTTAGGTTCAAAACATCCATAATCATTGGATGTAATCTATTTACCATGACTTTTATAATTACTGTAGCAGCAACATTACACAAACTGATAGGCCTTAACTGATTTAAGGTCTCTAGTTGTGCAATTTTAGGAATGACACAAATAAGAGTTGTAGTAAGCCATGCATCAAACCTTCCTTCGTTAAACACTTTCTAACAAAATCAAATAAGTTAGGGCCTACCACTTCCCAATTCTTTTGATAAAAAATTGGTTGCAGCCCATCACTTCCCGAAGCTTTAAAAGCACTCATGGAGAAAACTACATTCTTAACTTCCTCCTAAGTTACTAGATGAAGAATAGATAAGAGCTGAGCTTCACTCATACAACCATTCCTTGGAAAAGACATAACATAAAAAGGATCAAAGGTAGCTTCCCCAGCTTGATAAAGATTGCTAAAATAATTAACCACTATATCACATAGTTTGTTTGGGTCAGTACATCAAGAATTATCATCCTTTTTTAATGTAGTGATCCTCTTATTTCTTCTCCTCATAATAGTAGTAGCATGGAAAAAGCTTGTATTACGATCACCAAACTGGACCAATTGGATATGGATTTTTGAAACCATAGCATCTCTTCTTGTTTTAGCACAGCATTGTAAGCCTTGATCAATCTTTCTTCTAAGGCAAATAATAAGGGTCTTTGACTACTTTCAATGGCTTCTTGTGCACCGACTATATGAACTAGTAATCTACGTTTTCTCTTGAATATGTCCCCAAACACCTCTCGATTTCATACTTTAATCTTTTCTATGAAATAACCAATAGCATCTACAAGTGAAGTACTCTCAATGCATGAATCTTTAAGAAAATATTTGAAGTATGGGTGTGATTGCCAAGCCACCTCAAATCGAAAAGGCTTGTTCTTTTTGTTTAATGGTTGTAAACCTCTCACATTTAACAATATTGGATAGTGATCGTTGTGTGTACGAGGTATATTATGAACAAAAGGCTTCAGGGAAAAGAAGCCTCCACTGAATATTTGCAATAACACTGTCTAATCTTTTCATCACAAGTCCATTACCATGTTGATTATTAGTTCATGTGAACCTACTTCTTGATGCCACCAGATCAAGAAGTCCTCTAGCTTGAAAACTATCCAACATTGAAGAAGCACCACACAAACCTAAAACTTTGCCATCTAGCCTCTTATTACTTGAAGTGATCCAGTTAAAGCCTCTAACCAGCAGCCAAGGCATAGTATCAAAGCAATCCAACCATTTAATTTTATCCCATAAAAGTTCTCTAATAGAGGCATTAGGACTAGCATAAATAACAAAAAAAAAAAAAAAAAAACCCAAGGTTCCATATTAAGGCATTTAACTAACAAAAAGATCATTTGTGGCAATTCTTCAAGGATAGTGACCTCTCTTATTGAATTATTCCATAGA